GGCGGAGGAGGAGGGAGCAGGGCTATCGAGACCCGAGAGGGCCGAGGCGCCGCACCCCCCGCCGCCCGCGCCAGGACGGCGGCGGCGTGCCCCCGGCGCGGGGGGGGGGGGCGCGGCGGGCGGGCGGGGCGGCCCGGCCGGCCGCCCGCGTGGCCCGAGCCGCCTCGTCGTGGCGCCAGCATCGCAGAGCGGATTTCGTTCGGACAACGATGGGATGGAACTCGGGTTTGCCGTCGTTTTGTCTGTCTTCGGGGAAGGCTCAGAAAACTTTCAGAAGGCCCGGGGACTTCCGAGCCTTTGAGAAGGCCCGCCCCTTCTCATTTCCCCCCTCACCCGGCGCCTAAACGTAAGACTCGAGTAAGCTGGAACTCGGGTTTGCCGTCGTTTTTTGACGAGCGCGTCCTGGATTTTGACGGTCCGTTTTTCGTGGGATGGCTGCAGCTGGAGCCCGCGTCAAAGTTCAGATTGGGTCTTGTCATTTTCATGATGGCCCCCGTCAGGCCAACCCGAGTACCCCATACCCGAGTCTTACGTCTCCCCGACTTTTGGATGAATATCACAGTCGAGCACGTCCCTCTACGTGAGAAATATTTAAGAATTGTCAAAAAGCATAGTTTGGGGACGATTTGCAGGATGATTTTTTTTGGGTGGGTGGGGCGGGGGTAAGTTTTTTGTCCAAAACCCGCCTGTAGGGGGACATGCCCGACCTAAATCTAGGCCTCCCAGATGGGGCCGAAGTAGATTCGGGGGCGGCCAAGAGGGGGGTGATGACTAGGTGGATATCATGGCGGGGGCCATGATGTTTCCTCAGATTTCATGGCGCCTCTTCTTATTTCATTACGTCCCTGGCCGCCCCCTCTGGGCCGCGTACATGCCGCAGGCCATGATTTGCGCCCCCCCTCTTGGACACCCCCCTCTTGGCCGCCCCCGACCAGAGTGTCCTGGAGAATTTCGTTCCGGATTTCGACGAAAAAGAACAAATCCACGCAGAAAATTCACGCCGTTTTTTCTGCTCGCCGTCGCGGGGTGTTCGGCACTGGCAGAAATCCGCGCCAAAATCCGCTGCAGCACGTCTGCAAGGCCGGTGCGGCCTCCCCCGGCCCTGCCGCCGGTCCTTCCGTACAGATCCCCATCCCCCGCATTTTGGAGACGTCTACCCAGAGTTCCAACGCATTGAAGAAGACACGACGGAGGTTTTTCGCAAGTTTCGGCCCCCAGGGGCCCTCGCCGGTCTTCGGGAGCGTCAAAAACCGACTCAGGATGAAAAACCGGTCCTGGGGAATGGGTCGAGACTTCCGGGGACCCCGTATGGAAAAAAAACACGACATTTGTCGGTATCGTCTAACCAATCCCCATCCCCATACCCAGCCCCTTCGAGACCCCCACCAAAGTACCACCCTTTTCGGGGATGCACGCCTCGAAACCCGAAGGGAACGACCTACGTCCCCATCTAAGTAGGGGGGTAAATCGGCCAGTGTGGCACAGACCACGCCGCCGTGGATGGGAATCGGTTAAACGATACTCACACCAAGCAAAAGAGCAGAAATATTTAGGCTTCCCGGATGGGGTCGGAGGATCGCGCCGCATCGCCGATACATCGGCGATGCGGCTCGACGTGGAGCCCGACTGTATTAGCGCCAGCGCCGCCGCTGCACCGCCGACGCATCGGTGGTGCACTGGCGGTGCGGAGCGATCTTCCGATCCCATCTGCTCCGACCTTCACCTGGGAGGCCTTGGGTATCATCTCCACAAGTCCGAGGCGGGAATTTATACATGACCACCGCCTGGAGGGTCCGTTTTCGGAGCCTCGGCAGGCGGTGGGTATGGACATATTCGGGCCCCCGGGGGCCGAAATATCTCCATATCCACCGCCCGCTGGGGCACCAGGACGTCGGCTCCCAGGCGGTGAATACCCGCCTCGCATTGGAGGGCTCAAGTTCGGCACCCTCACACGTTTCGTGGCCCCACATGTAGTTCCACCGAAGGCCCCAGTGGCAGCGCCCGCATGCGTCCCCAGGCCCATGTGGCCATGTCGGCACACCACTCACCCGCTTTGTGGCCCCATATGGAGATTCACCGACGGCCCTACTGGCAGCGCCTGCATACGTCCCCAGGCCCATTTCGGCACGACCCTCACACAAGTCGTGGCTCCAAAGGGAGCTCAACCGAAGGTCCCTGTGGCAGTGCGGGCACGTGTCCCCTGGCCCATGTCGGCACACCGCTCGCACGCTCCGTGGCCCCACAGGGAGCTTCACAGAAGGCCACAGCGGCAGCGCCCGCGGGCGTCACCAGACCAATTTGGGCAGACCATTCACCCGCTTCGTGGCCCCATGGGAGCTCCCCCTCATTTGCCCCACCTGCTTTGCTCCTTGCAGTCCTGCGTATGCAGGGTCCCTCGCCGGGATACTTTGCCATCTCAGGGCCACCTGGACCGTAGCAGCTTGGAGCTACCTCGCTATATGGCACCACAGCACGTTTTCGGCTCCACTGGTCCCCGCTGACATTGTACCCTTTCCGGACAGCCTCCCCAATGGCCGCGATGACGCAGCCCCACGTCGTCTTCATGAACATCGCCGCCACAGGCCACATGAACCCCACCTTGCCCGTCGTGGCGAGTCTGGTCTCGCGCGGCTGCAGGGTCACCTACTTCGTGGAGGCTTGGACGGGGCTAGAACGAAGATGAATCCGTTCCAGAGCGTGCCAGGACGCTCTCAGAGCGTTCTGGAACGCTCGCCGCCTGCTTCGTGGAGGCTCGGACGGGACCAGGACGAGGACAGATCCCTTCAGAGCGTGCCGGAACGCCCTCAGAGCGTGCCCGAACGCTCTGAGAAGGCCGCGGCGCCCGAGACATCATCCAGAGCCGTCAGATCCTGCCAGCGATGCCGGAGGCCCCCTGCACGCCCATGCACAGAGCAACCCCTGAGATGTAAGCGTAGCTCCTCCTCCTCCTCCTCCTCCTCCTCCTCCTCCTCCTCCTCCTCCTCCTCCTCCTCCTCCTCCTCCTCCTCCTCCTCCTCCTCCCCCTCCTCCCCCCCTGTATCCTCGTCCGGACTCGTCCTCGTGTTGGCCTCGCCTCGGAGGCCTCGATGCGGGCCGTCGTCGAGGCGGCCGGCGCTTCGTGGATGCCCTTCCGGTATGCCAACCACGCCTTCACCGGCATCCTCCGGGAGCCGGGCCAGCTCTCGGCGCTCTCGGCCGCGGAGCGCGCCGCCGTGGGCCTGGCGGAGGACGCCCCAGAGCAGCTCACGGGCTCTCGGGGGCCTTGAGTCTGGTGGGCCCAAGAGGGGGGCCAGCGAAGAGGGAGCGGTGCCACAGCTTTGGTGCAATCGGGTTTGTGGGATCGCAGTGCATGTGGGGTGTGCGATACACTCCGGGGCGCAGATGTAGTGCTGGAGTTTCGCGCGCAGTACAGTCGTCGCAATACAATGCAAGACACCTCTCCGGCGCAATACATTTGTCATACAGCTGCCCCAAATCTATTGCACCACCCCCTTTCAGCTGGACCCCCTTGTGGGTCGACCAAATGCAGACGGGGGTCAATGCAAAACGGGGGTCAGTCAGAGCGCCGGACCTTCCGGGATCCTGCAGAGCCAGGGTTGCACCGACCCGGGTCAGTGCGCAGGATCCTGCAGGACCTCGCGTGATCCCTCAAGGCCTGCCTGGCCCGGGTTTGCATCGTGACCCGGGGCAGTAGATGCCCGAGGCTTCCCGTTCAGCACGCTGTACAACTCGCAGCTGGTGCTGCCCCAGCTCCTCGACGACGTGCGGGCCCTGTCGCCCCGCGCGAGCGCCATCGTCTGCGACCCCTTCCTGCCCTGTGGCCGCGTGGTGGCCCACGTCCTGGGCGCCGCGCCGATCAGCTTGCTCACGATGCCGGGCCCTGGCGTCTTCACGCTGCCGGACGAGGTGGAGGGGCTGCCGTGGATGGAGGGCCCGCGCCAGTGGATCAGGAGGGAGTACGGCATCGACCTGTTCGAGGATTATGATGTTCCAACCTCCTTTAGCCTTGATCGCCACAAAGAATTTCGAGCACCAAGAAAGTACCGGAACTGGAGGGTTTTCTCGCGTCGGGCCCTGGGAGGCGATACTCGTTCGACACAGTTTCGATACCTTTCTGGGTGCTCGAAATGATTTCTGGGATGTGGTCCTTAAGTACGATGGGAGAATTATAATTCGAGGACACCAGCGTCCTCGAGTTCTACTCGCCGGTCCTGAACTTGGTGACCACCCTCGAGGATTTCTACTCCCCGCCCAGGACGGCGAGGCAGGTCCACAGGTTCGGCCGCGCGCCCTTCCGCTGCGTGGGCGCCCTCCTGGACCCCAAGGCTGAGAATCGGCCGCAAGTCATTCGATCGGAGGGCACCAACGATACACCAACATCGATCCTGGCCCAGGATCACCCTGGGCCCAGGATCAGTGTATACAGGAGGGCGTATACACCGATCCTGAGCCCAGGGTGATCCTGGCCAGCATCGGTGTTGGTGTATAGTTGGTGCCTTCCTATTCGAAGAAGAAAAAACTTTCGGTGCTCCGCGCGGACTTCTCGGATCCGAGCGGGGGCCCCCTGGCGCGCTCCGCGCGCCAGGGATAGGGGGGCCCGGCGCAGATCCAAGAAATCCGCGCGGACCGTCGCAAGTTAGTGTTTATGGTTTTTACCTAACAGCGAAGACTGATAGGTTTCTAGTAGGGTCAAAAGAGAGCATCATAACTCCTCAGGGGGGTCTGGGCGGGATCCGGCGATCTGCCGGCGCTCTGCCGCCGCCACCCAAATCGCCTGAGACATCCTCGCAAAATCGCTCTTGGCGCTCCCAGAACTCCATTCCCGGGCCACATTTTGAATGCCCGGAGCCAACTGTAGGCCACTTCGTGGTCTTCGAGTTCCCAGAACTCCATTCCCGGGCCACATTTTGAATGCCCGGAGCCAACTGTAGGCCACTTCGTGGTCTTCGAGTTCCCAGAACTCCATTCCTGGGCATGATTTTGAAAGCCCGGAGCCAACTGTAGGCCACTTCGTGGTCTTCGAGTTCCCAGAACTCCATTCCTGGGCATGATTTTGAATGCCCGGAGCCAACTGTAGGCCACTTCGTGTTCTTCGAGTTCCCAGAACTCCATTCCCGGGCCACATTTGAATGCTGAGGCAGGCTGAGGCTGAGGCTGAGGCAGGCTGAGGCTGAGGCAGGCTGAGGCTGAGGCCGAGGCTGAAGGCAGACTGAGGCTGAGGCTGAAGCAGGCTGAGGCTGAGGCTGAGGCGGCTGAGGCTGAGGCTGAGGCTGATGCAGGCTGAGGCTGAGTCAGGCTGATGCAGGCTGAGGCTGAGGCAGCTGAGGCTGAGGCCGAGGCTGAAGGCAGACTGAGGCTGAGGCTGAAGCAGGCTGAGGCTGAGGCTGAGGCAGGCTGAGGCTGAGGCAGGCTGAGGCTGAGGCTCAGGCTGATGCAGGCTGAGGCTGAGGCAGGCTGAGGCTGAGGCCGAGGCTGAAGGCAGACTGAGGCTGAGGCTGAAGCAGGCTGAGGCTGAGGCTGAGTCAGGCTGAGGCTGAGGCTGAGGCAGGCTGAGGCAGGCTGAGGCGAGGCTGAGGCTGATGCAGGCTGAGGCTGAGGCAGGCTGAGGCTGAGGCCGAGGCTGAAGGCAGACTGAGGCTGAGGCTGAAGCAGACTGAGGCTGAGGCTGAGGCTGAGGCAGGCTGAGGCTGAGGCTGAGGCAAGCTGATGCTGAGGCAGGCTGAGGCTGAGGCTGAGGCTGATGCAGGCTGAGGCTGAGGCAGGCTGAGGCTGAGTCCGAGGCTGAAGGCAGACTGAGGCTGAGGCTGAAGCAGGCTGAGGCTGAGGCTGAGGCAGGCTGAGGCTGAGGCTGAGGCAGGCTGATGCTGAGGCAGGCTGAGGCTGAGGCTGAGGCTGATGCAGGCTGAGGCTGAGGCAGGCTGAGGCTGAGACCGAGGCTGAAGGCAGACTGAGGCTGAGGCTGAAGCAGGCTGAGGCTGAGGCTGAGGCAGGCTGAGGCTGAGGCAGGCTGAGGCTGAGGCTGAGGCAGGCTGAGGCTGAGGCTGTGACTGCGACTGCCGTTGCCAATGCGACTGTCATCGCGAATGCGACTACGACTGCGAGAACAGCAGAATTCTTTACGCTTCCGGTATCCCCAACCAGGCCCATCTCACAGCAGCAACTCTTGCGAAGCATGCCGACAGTCGTGTTTTTCAGGCGTGTGTCCGCTTGGCCCCGCATATCTCCCCTGTTCCTCCTTCCTCCCCTCCTTGTACATCCTCCTTGTGGGGGGAGCGGGAGAAGGACGAGGCGGAGGAGGAGGGAGAGAAAGCGCTCCTCGTGATTTGAGTCGTTTGGGGTTTCTCGTCCTGGTGTGAGTCGTTCGGGCCCTTCTTCCTGGTGTGAGTCGTTCGGGCTCTTCGTGGTGTGAGTCGTTCGGGCTCTTCGTCCTGGTGTGAGTCGTTCGGGCTTCTCGTGGTGTGAGTTGTTCGGGCCCCTCATCCTGGTGTGAGTCGTTCGGGCCCCTCCTCCTGGTGTGACTCGTTCGGGCTCCTCGTGGTGTGAGTCGTTCGGGGCCCGCGTCGTGGTGTGAGTCGTTCGGGCTCCTCGTGGTGTGAGTCGTTCGGGCGCCTCGTCCTGGTGTGAGTCGTTCGGGCCCCTCCTTGTGGTGTGAGTCGTTCGGGCTCTTCGTGGTGTGAGTCGTTCGGGCCCCTCGTCCTGGTGTGAGTCGTTCGGGCTCCTCGTGGGGCCTCTTGGGGGCCTCTTGGGGCGTCTTGGGGCCTCTTGGGGGCCTCTTGGGGGCCTCGTGGGAGCCTCTTGGGGGCCTCGTGGGGCCTCTTGGGGCCTCTTGGGGGCCTCTTGGGGGCCTCTTGGAGGCCTCTTGGGAGGCTCCTGGGGGCCTCTTGGGGCCATCTTGGGGCCTCTTGCGACCTCCTCAGAAGTGCAAATGAGCGCTGCCTTCTGAAAAGGACAAAATGAGGCCAAAACCTTCGTAAAATCAATGATTTTGCTATGAAGGACGATGAGCGCTGCCCCCTCAGAAGGCCAAAATGGGGCCCAAACCCTAGTAAAATCAATGTTTTTGGCTTCACAGAAGAGGAGAGGGTTTTTTCTCCGGCCCCCCGTCGGGGCCAGAATCCTCGTGAGGGTCGTCGTTTTTTAGCCCTCCCAGGAGTCGAAGTTGACCCCCCTGACGACCCGCGGGGCGCCCTCTCCAGGCCCAGGGGGAGGGGGTAATTAGGGGGAGGGGTAAACCCCTCCCCGAAGGGGAAGAAGGGGGGTTGAGGACAGAGGGGGCTCGCTAAACCACTCACGCCCAAAGGGCTGGTGGGATTCTACAACTGGATTCTCATGTGAATCTTAAGGGGAATGCTTCCAGATATGCTCCTACACATCGCTGTTAGGTTGCTTTGCCGGGATAATTTCTTTCCTCTAATCATGGGAGCCTTGCACCGAAGACGCCTACGGCGAATCATCGCCGCCCCCTGCCCTTTGGAGCATCCTGTGCAGCCTGAGGAGAATCTGTGCCCACGAGTCTGGCCACCAAAACAGGCAAACCGAATGAGACATCCTCAAAATCTGGCCCACCTGGGGGGTAAAATGAGCGCCTCGCTCGAGACATCCTCCAACTCTGCTCCGAAAGCGAAGGATGTTGGGACAGAAAACAGGCAAACCGCTTGAGACATCCCAGCAAAACGGCCGCGAACGGGACCGTGTCATACCCCTCGGCGGCCCCCCTTAGGGTGGTGAAAATGAGCGCCTCGCTCGAGACATCCTCCAAATCTGCTCCGAAAGCGAAGGATGTTGGGACAGAAAACAGGCAAACCGCTTGAGACATCCCCACAAAACGGCCGCGAACGGGACCGTGTCATATCTCTCGGCGGCCCCCCTTAGGGTGGTGAAAATGAGCGCCTCGCTCGAGACATCCTCCAAATCTGCTCCGAAAGCGAAGGATGTTGGGACAGAAAACATGCAAACCGCTTGAGACATCCCCACAAAACGGCCGCGAACGGGACCGTGTCATACCCCTCGGCGGCCCCCCTTAGGGTGGTGAAAATGAGCGCCTCGCTCGAGACATCCTCCAAATCTGCTCCGAAAGCGAAGGATGTTGGGACAGAAAACATGCAAACCGCTTGAGACATCCCCACACAACGGCCGCGAACGGGACCGTGTCATACCCCTCGGCGGCTCCCCTTAGGGGTGCTGAAACCAGCGCCCCGCCTGAGACATCCTCACAATCTGCTGTGTGTAGAGTAAGGCAGACAATGAGAAGGCCTGAGTATGAGTAAATCTGGGTATGAGTGAGTCTCAGCATGAGTAAGTCTGAGTATGAGTAGGTCTGAGTATGATTAGGTCTGAGTATGAGTAATTTTGTGTGTAAGTCTGGGTATGAGTAAGTCTGAGTGTGAGTCAGTCTGTGCATGAGTAAGTCTGGGTATGAGGAGGAGAGGGGAGGAGAAGGAGGAGGATGAGGAGTAGGAGGCGTCAGAGTAATAGCAATAACCCTATCGTAGGATATGGGGAACAAAAAAGGTTGAGAGGATCGAGAACATAAGAACCCCTAGCCCTAATAACACGATGAAGCCGTGGCCTCTCTTAGGTTCTCGCCCTTGCATTCGGGATCATACATCTGGGCGGTTTGGTCCGATCGACCTGCAGCAACAAATATCCTGGCGAAGGACCCAACCATGAAGCTCCCTATGGGGCAACAAAGCGCTGCACTGGGTGGGGGGAACGCTGTACTGAGTGGGTGGTGCGCCAAAATGGGCTTCCTGGACGCATGCGGACGCTCCCACTGGGCGCTTCGGTGGAGCTTCTTATGGGGGCCACGAAACGCTGTAATGGGTGTGTGAAAATGCCACATTGGGTTTCGGGGACCCATGCGGACGGTGGAACTGGGGCCTTCGGTGGAGCTCCCTATGGGGCCACGAAACGCTTTACTGGGTGGGAGGAAATGCCAAATTGAGTTTCCGGGACGCACGCGGACGGTCTCTGGGCGGGTGAAAATGCCACATTGGGTTTTCGGGACGCATGCGGACGGTGGCACTGAAACATTCGGTGGAGCTCCCTATAGGGCCACGGAGCGCTGTACTGGGTGAGTGACAATGCCACAGGGTGTTTCGGAACGCTTGCGGACAGTCCCTCTGGGGCCGTCGGTGGGGTTCCCTATGGGGCCACGAAGCGCTGTTCTGGGTTGGTAAAAATGCCACATTGTGTTTTCGGGACGCATGCGGACGGCGGCACTGGGGCCTTCGGTGGAGTTCCCTATGGGGCCACGAGACGTTGTACTGGGTGGGCGAAAATGCCCAATTAGGCGTTTCGGGACGCATGCGGACGGTCCCACTAGTGGTTTCGGTGGGGCCTCCTGTGGTGCCACGAAACGTTGTACTGGGTGTGCGGGACGCATGCGGGCGGCAGCACTGGGACCTTCGGCGGGGCTCCCCATGGGGCCACGAAACGATGTACTGGGTGGGGGAAGCGCAGGGAGCAGGGGGAGAAGGGCCACTTCGGTGGGGCTCCCTTACGGGGCCACGAGACGTTGTACTGGGTGGGGGAAACGCAGGGAGCAGGGGGAGGAGGGCCACGAAACGCTGTACTGGGTGTGCGGGACGCATGCGGACGGCAGCACTGGGACCTTCGGTGGGGCTCCGTATGGGGCCACGAACCGCTGTACTGGGTGGGGGAAGCGCAGGGAGGAGGGGGAGGAGGGAGGACGAGGGAGGAGGGGAGGAGGAGGATGAGGGAGGACGCGGGGCGCTGTCTCTTCAAAGCGAGGACCCAACACCACAGGATGGTTGGGAACAACCCTGTCACTGATGCTTTTGGTCCTCCTAACTCAGGTCTCCTCACAAAGGGCTAGGGAGCATTTTTACGTTTATCAAAAAGGTTGAGAGGATCGAGACCACAATATTCCCTAACCCTACTAACACGATGAAGACGTGGCCTCACTTAGGTCCCCGCCCTTGCATTCGGGATCATACATCTGGGCGGTTTGGTCCGGTACACCTTCAGAAAATACTCTCAATCCCTGATGCTTCTGGCCCTCCTAAGTCAGGTCTGCTCCAAAAGGGCTAGGGAGTATTTTTTGTTTACCAAAAGATTGAGAGGATCGAGAACACAAGAACCCCTAACCCTAATAACACGATGGAGACGTGGCCTCACTCAGGTCCCCGCTCTTGCATTCGGGATCATACATCTGGGCGGTCTGGTCCGATACACCTTCAGAAAAGATCCCCTTATCCCTGATGCTTCTGGCCCTCCTAACTCAGGTCTCCTCCCAGAGGGTCAGGGGTATTGTGAAGGCTTTACGGCCAGTGCCGCCGACCCTGAAAGACATCGACGACGACCAGGAGGGGGAGGAGGAGAAGGAGGAGGAGGAGGAGGAGGAGGAGGAAGCGGAGATAAGGAGGAGGAGGTGGAGGAGGAGAAGGAGGAGGAAAAGGACTCCGCCCTTGGACCCCCCCCCCCCTGGGGAGGAGGACCGGAGGAGGACCGGCGCGGGAGAGGGGAGGGGAGGGGGAGGAGGACCCCCAGGGACGGATGCGTATCTGACTTTCCCCTTCTGGGTCTCCTCCCCACCTGGGGAGGAGGACTCGAGGAGGACCGGCGCGCCGGAGAGTGACCGGCGTGGGAGAGCACCCCCAGTGGCGATACGAATCTGCCCCCCTCCCCTTCCGGGACCCCCCTCCCCCCCGCCGGGGAAGGGAAAAAGGGAAGGGGCTTCCCTTTGACGTGATGAGGACGTGGATGGAATTCCCTCCAGCTGCGAACCCGTTTTTCCCGAACGAAGAAGGGTGCTCTCCTTTTCTCTCCCCCAACGGGAGAGGAGGATGGGAACGAGGGGACGAAAGAAGGCTCCCCGTCGATGGGACCGGACAGACACCCCACACACGCCGGTCGGCGTATTTCATGTTTAATCAAAAAGGATGAGGATCGAGAGTGACATAACCCTTAACCCTTCATAGCACGATGAAGACGCGGCCTCACTTAGGTCCCCTTGCATTCGGGATCATGCATCTGGGCGGTCTGGCCCGGTACACCTTCACAAAAGACCCCCTTATCCCTGATGCTTCTGGCCCTCGTAACTCAGGTCTCCTCCCACAGGGTCAGGGGTATTGTGAAGGCTTTACGGCCGGTGCCGCCGACCCTGAAAGACATCGACGACCAGGAGGGAGAGGAGGAGAAGGAGGAGGAGGAGGAGGAGGAAGCGGAGATAAGGTGGAATTTGCCCCCCCCCAAAGGGCTAGGGAGTATTTGCTTGTTTACCAACAAGGTTGCGAGGATCGAGAACGTGGACGTCGCCCCGGGGCTCGGCCCTGGGGCCGACTGCCTGGGGGTCTCCCCGGCGCTGCGCGCCGCCCGTGGCGCCCGGGAGGGCGGCCGCCGCGTCGTGCTGGTGTCCCTGGGGACGGTGGCCACCGGCAAGTTCTGGGGGGAGCCCTTCGGCCCGGTGGCGGCCGGTAACGCGGAGGCCCGAGGGCACGCGAGGAGGAGGAGGAGGAGGAGGAGGAGGAGGAGGAGGAGGAGGAGGAGGAGGAGGAGGAGGAGGAGGAGGAGGAGGAGGAGGAGGAGGAGGGGGAGGAGGAGGAGGAGGAGGAGGAGAGGAGGAGGGGGAGGAGGAGGGGGAGGAGGCGGAGGAGGAGGGAGGAGGGAGGAGGCGGAGGAGGAGGAGGAGGAGGAGGAGGAGGAGGAGGAGGAGGAGGAGGAGGAGGAGGAGGAGGAGGAGGAGAGGAGGAGGAGGAGGAGGAGGAGGAGGAGGAGGAGGGGAGGAGGAGGAGGGGAGGAGGAGGAGGAGGGGAGGAGGAGGAGGAGGAGGAGGGGGGAGGAGAGGAGGAGCAGGAGGAAGACCAGGATGATGATGATGATGAGGAGGAGGAGGAGGAGGAGGAGGGGCCTGGTGGCGGCCGGGAACGGGGAGGCCCTCGGCCCTCGGGGGGGAAGCATCGACGACAAGGGGTTCGACGGTGTGAGGTTTTTGAGGCTGTCGGGCGTTTTTGTCGGTCCCGCGCGGTTTGCCAGCCTCGGGGTGCCTTCTGGCAAGGGCGCCTCGCCGAGGGCGTTCCGGGAGTGCCAGGGTCGTACCCTTCGGCCCAGTGGCGGCCGGGAACGGGGAGGCCCGACGGCACACGAGCAGCTGAGGAGAAAACGGTGGGTACCGAAACCGCTACCTTCTCCTCCTTCGCCACCTCCTCCGCCTCTTCCTCCTCCTCCTTTTCCTCCTCCCCCTCGACGGCCCTTCCCTAGTTTTTTCGCCTCTCTGGGTCTCTAGCTGTCGTTCTTCGAGCCCGATAGCTACTTGCGCCGTCCGTCTGGCCCCAGGAAGTAGTTTTTTCGCCTCTCTGGGTCTCTAGCTGTCGTTCTTCGAGCCCGATAGCTACTTGCGCCGTCCGTCTGGCCCCAGGAAGGGAGTCGCAGAAGAGAAAAGCGCCATAAACAGAATCTTTTGGCGCTCCGTGCGTATTTCCTGGATCCGCGCTGGGCCTCCCCGGCGGCGCCTCCGGCGCCGCCCCTAGCGAGCGGAGCGCGACAGGGAGGGGGTCCAGCGCGGATCCAAGGCACCTTGTCCTTGGGACCCCATCCCTCAGGACTCCATCTTTGAGCCACCTGCTCCCAGGAAGCGGAGATGATTTGGGAAGCGGAGCTGGAGCAGGAGGAGGAGGAGGCGGAGGAGGAGGAGGAGGAGGAGGAGGAGGAGGAGGAGGAGGAGGAGGAGGAGGAGGGGGAGGGGGAGGAGGCGGAGGAGGAGGGGGAGGAGGAGGAGGAGAGGCAGAAGAGGAGAGGAGGAGGAGGAGGAGGAGAGGAGGAGGAGGAGAGGCGGCGGAGGAGGAGGAGGAGGAGGCGGAGGAGGAGGAGGAGGAGGAGGAGGAGGAGGAAGTCGGCGCGGAGCGTCAAAACTTTCTGCTTGCGCCGTTCTTTCCTCCTCTAATGGTGCTGAAGAGCTGTGTGCGAGCGGCCGGCACGCCCGCTCACCTGGTTGTGCACTTCTGCCCGCGGAGCGGTGCAGCGCGAGCGTGGGCGTCGGCAGTGCAGTCGTGGCGCACGGATGCATTTGTCCGCCTCTGCTAGCGCACCGCGTGGTGGAAGGCTTGTGACCTGACCTGGGTCTCCTGGGAGGCCCTCGCCTTAAAGTCGGGCGTGTCCCTCTGCAGGAGGAATATTCAGAAATAGGCAAGAAATAGTAAGGGGGCGATTTTTCGGGTATTTTTGAGGATCTGTTTGAATATTGCTTTGTAGGAGGACACGCCCGACCTGGTGCTAGCGCACCGTGTGGTGCAAGGCTGGTGACCTGACTTGGGTCTCCTGGGAGGCCCTCGTCGCCACCGCTGGATTCGCCTCGAAACTCTGGTCAGATCATCCCCCCCTGGAGAGGTCCGGGGAGCAGCGGTGGCGGTCGACGTAGACGAGGCCCGAAGAAGAAAAGATGGTACGAGCATGATGTTTTGGAGCTCCGCGCGGATTTCTCGGATCGGCGCTGGGCCCCGCTGGCGGTGCCTCCAGCGCCGCCCCCAGCGCGCTCCCCCCAGGGTCCAGGGCATCCGGGCGGACGTCACCTCCGACAGTTGCGGTTGATGCCGTTTTTTGTTCCTCCAAAGGCGCCCAAGGGCACGAAGAGCCTGATGGAGCACACGGGCAGGGAGTTCTGCTTGTTCCTCCTCCGCGCGGTCTTCGAGGCCGTGGCAAGAGATCCCGGCATGCTCGCCGTCGTCGCCGTGGGGCCTCACATGGCGGACGCCATGGAGGCCCTGCCCGAGCCTCCCGCCAACACGGTGGTGTGCGAGTCCGTGCCGCAGGTCGACTTGCTGCCGCTCTGCGACGCGTTCGTCACCCACGGGGGCGCCAACAGCATGCACGAGGCCCTCTCTTTTGGTGTCCCCCTCTGCGTGGTGCCCATCTTCGGGGACCAGCCCTCGAACGCGGACACGGTCGCGCGCATCGGCGCCGGCGTGTCTTTCCGCAACCCGCTGCTGACGTTGTCGGGCGACTCGCTGAGCGACGCGCTGGGCGACATCGGGGGCGGCGACTTCCAGAGCACCTTCAGGGTCGCCGCGCGGGAGGCGTCCAAGAGGCTGGCGGCAGCCGACGGCGTCGGGGGCACTGCGGACGCCGTGCTCGGGGCGGCCGGTGCGCGGGACGTGGCTCGCCGGGCGGAGGCGGGGGCCTCCGCCAAGGAGGCCAGCGCCGCACCGGCAGGCCAGCAGGCGCACATGTTTGGTGCCTGAAGGCGGGGGGGATGGCCTCTTCGGTGGGGCGACCCTGCGGCAGGGAGGCGACCCTCGAAGTGCGGCGCGCGCGTGCGGCGCGACGCGCTGCACCGTCCTGCTCCACGGCCACGCGTGTGGCCGCCGAACCAGGCAACGACCCTGGGGACGGGAGCAGCGAGGCGCGACCTCCGCGTCTTCACAATTTCGAATATTGACCGTTGCTGGATTTTCCCATCCCTCTCTTGCCCTCCTTTTGTTTCCTTCAGGAGTGTGCAACGTACACGTTGCTCCAGAGTCCCGAGTAGAATGCACCGGCAGCGAACGAATGCAAGTCCGTGCGTGCTGGCCTCTGTGGAGTGCACATACGATGCAATCACAAGCTATTACAGTGATCAGCCGGATGAAGTTGAGCAACCTGCTTCAAGAGAAATCATGGATGGGGAGGCTGGGGACCCATCTCGGAAACATCTTGGGGCCCTCTTCGGCTGAGCAATGTAGGAGGCCATCCGCCTTCACTCGGGACATTTGCGTCATCTTGGAGGAATTTTGAGGCCATCCAAGACGCCTACAGCGAATCATCGCCGCCCCTTGCTTTTTGGAAACGCCTCTGTGACCGAACGATTGGCCGAAGTCTTGCCAAACTGTTGGACTACGTGCTCCCCCAGCAGTCGTGGAAACGCTCGGGGGAACATTTCATGGAGGATGAGGACGGAGGGAGGGAGGGAGGGAGGGAGGAAGGGAGGGAGGGAGGGAGGGAGGGAGGGAGGAGTGGAGGGAGGTGGAGGAGGATGAGGAGGACGAGGAGAAGAGGAGGAGGAGG